CTTCGCTTGGCACTTTCCGGGCCTATGGCTATCTTCGAAGGACGCTGAGGAGGAGGAGGAGGAGGAGGAGGAGAAGGAGGGGGAAGAGAAGAAGGAGCAGGGGCAGGAGGAGGAGGGATGAATCGCCCATGTTTGAGCATTCGTTTGGTTATGTTGGGATCTTCGAAGGGTCTTCGGAGAAGGCGGAGGAGGAGGAGGCGGAGGAGGAGGAGCAGGAGCAGGAGCAGAAGGACGAGGAGGACGAGGAGGAGGAGGAGGAGGAGGAGGAGGAGGAGGAGGAGGAGGAGGGAGGATCGATGATATGTGTAACTTTTCTTGTGTGCCCTCCTGGAGCCTCCGCGGGCCCCTGGAGTCCTCCGGGTGCCTCCTCCGTGGACTCGCGGAGGCCTCCCGAGAGATCTGGGAGACTCCGGGGACCTCTGGACACTTCCGCCTGCGTGCATGCGGGCCGTTCCTGGCCGAGCCGGGATCGGCCCAGGATCGGTGTAAACGCGTGCCGTCCTGCCGGGCCGGGCCAGGAGGGCGCGTGCACCGACTCTTGAGCCCAGGGTGGGCCTGGCCACCATCGGTGTGGGTGTATCGGGGCTCCTGTTCGGGTGGGTGGGGCCCACACGGGGTGCGTCCATCCTCTCCACCTGACGGAGGGCGATGAGAGGAGAGCTGGGGGATCAAGGTATGTTCGGACGGTCTCCGAGGTCGCCTGAAGATGTTGGAGGGTCTCAGAAGTTTCCCGTGGTGTCCAGAAGCAGAGGGGGATGGGGATGAGGGAGGAGAGGAAGGATGAGGGAGAGGAAGGGCTCATCCTTTTCCTCTCCTCCATCCCTCTCCTCCTTTATCCGTCTTTTCCGACGTCGCCGTACGCTCCTCCTCCTCTACCTCGGTCTCCTCTCCCCATCTCCTCTTACGCGCTGGTATTGTGGCACGCCATATCCAGAATCCAGAATCCACTGCTCTTCGCGCTCTACTCCTCTTCCTCCTCATCGTCCTTGTCGTTGTTATCGTCTTTCTATCATCCTCGTCCTCCTCCGTCCTCTTCTTCGCCCTCCCCCCCTCCCGACGCCCGACGCCTCGAGCTCTCCCTTCCTCCCGTCCTCCCTCCCTACTCCCGTCTCATTTCTCCCTGCTTTTGTCCTCCCTCCTTCCTCCCACCTCCCTCATCCGTTTCTACTCGGGAGGTGTTTCCCTAGTGCAGTGACCACCCACTTGGATTGCCAGGCATTGCACGCCGCCTGGCTTTCCTTTTTTCCGTCCGTTCGTATGTCTGTTTGTCTTCCCGGCTCTCTGAGCCGCGGCGCTTTGAGCTTCTTAGCTCAGGGACGCGTCGGCCACCGCCGCCCTCTCCCTTGTCGGTGGCCCTGACGAGGTTGAGTGAGAGGGTGCCGAAACGCGCCCAGAGTCCAGCAAGGCATGAGGGTGCAAACCCGACTTGTCTGGCTGTTGCTCTGGGGGGGCTTGTGCTCAGTGGAGGCTGCAGCACCTCTCAACGATGTGCTGTTTAACCTAACCTGCAGGGTGGGCCCTTTCCCGAATCCTCGCTTCGGTGCGGATCGTCTGCGCGCTTCGTCTCCGTCGTTGTCCTCGTCGTCGTCGTCGTCGTCGTCGTCGTCGTCGTCGGCGTTGTCGGCGTCGTCGTGGTCGTGGTGCGTGTTGCTCTGCTCGGGAGTTGTTTCCCTGATGCAGTGACCACCCACCACCCACCCTCTTCTTCGTCCTCCCCCCCTCCCGACGCCCGACGCCTCGAGCTCTCCCCTTCTCCCGTCCTCCCTCCCCACTCCCGTCTCATTTCTCCCTGCTTTTGTCCCCCCTCCTTCCTCCCACCTCCCTCATCCGTCTCTACTCTCTCCGCGCATCCGTCCCTCCTCTTCTCTTCGATCTCGTGTTCATCGTCGTCGTTCTGTACGGTCCCCCCCCCCTCACCCTGGCCTTCGTTGTCATAGTCGCGGTGTTTTGACGTCGTCGTCCCCCCCTCATCCTGCCCCCAGCCCTCCTCCGCTCCTTTCTTTTCCCTTTTCCTTTTCCTCGTCCTCGCTTCCCTCCTCCCCTCTCTTCCCCCTTTCCCCCCCCCCCCCTCCTCTCCTCCTCTCCTTCTCCGTTCTCCTTTTCCTCGTCCTCGCTTCCCTCCTCCCCTCTCCTCCCCCTTCCCCCCCTTCCTTCTCCTTCCCCCTCCGCCCCCTTCCCCTCCGCTGGCGGTGGCAGCGCGCCAGAGCGGAGCTCGGCATCAAGGGCTGCCCCACGCTTCGATCGGTCCGAGGCGTGCGTGCCGACGCGTGCTCGCGGCGTCCATCGGTCGCTTCGGGCATGTACTCCGAGCTGTTCGATACGGTGGGGGCGTTCGTTGAGGAACGTGCCCAGGAGGCTTCAGACCCTGGAGGGTCCCTTATCTGACGAGGGCGGCGGTGATATGACTGGCCAGTCCACGATTGGATTTCCACTGGCTTCCAGACCCTGGATTCCTTCTCGAAGATATCCTTATTCAATGCCCTCACCGTGCTTATCCCGATTGAGGGGGTGACCGCGGAAATCCCGTTCTCAGTCCGTCGGGGGGGGGCGGGCTTTCTTACCCGTTTCAGGGACCACGCTCTGGGGCGTGACAGCGAGGCGATTGCGAGTAGAGCTGAGCGTCAAGGAATATTTTCACTGGCGAGTGAGTTCTAACATCGTGAAACGGCCCTCTATGTTACCTTCTTTAAAACATCCTTATTCAATGCCCTCACCGTACGCGTGGGGTGCGGGGTGTGGGCCAGGTGGGAGGTGGGACTCGGCTCTTCTTCGCGGGGCGCGAGGGGGGGGTTTGGCACCGCGTGTCGGGGGGGGGTGGTCCGTGTGCGGGGATGGACCACAGTGGCTCGTCGGGCTGGGAGGCACAGGGGGGGGTCCTTATGGAACAACTTGAGGAGGAGGAGGGGGAGGAGGAGGAGGAGGAGGAGGAGGAGGAGGCATGGATTCGCATTTGCGACATCGCAGTCGAGCCATGGATTCGCCCGCCCACCGGGCCGGGCAATCCGGGTCTCCGCGCGGACCTCAGGTGCACCGACAGTGACGGCCAGTGGGCTTATCTGGACAACGATCTTGCATCCCGCCTCGCAGCAGAGCCTGCAGGCCGGCGGGGCCCACACCCAAGGCACCGCTGCGAGACTGGCCGAACAGGCCAAGCGCCGCAAATACAACGGAGTCGCTGGTTTCCAACCCCTCGGCTTCGAAGTGTCGGGAGCCATGGGCGAGTCCACCCGGAAATGGCTCGCGCAGCAAGTGCCTGAGGGCCCTGGGCGACTGGAGACTCTCAGCACTCTCCACCGGTCCATCGCCACCTGCGTGGTCCGGGAGGTGGCGCGCACGCTCATCAGCGCTGCCTGAGATGGTCGTCGGGCCAGCCAGCGCGCCTAACGCAGGGGTCTGGTGGCTCGCACCCCTGGGCCTGGAACCGGCGGCCTCGCACGACGACGGCACCAGCGCGAGAACAGCGCTGCTACGGGAGGACGCACGAGGACAGCACTAGGACAGCACGAGGACAGCACAGGCGCGAGGACAGCACGAGGACAGCACGAGGACAGCACGAGGACAACACTAGCACGAGGAGGGGAAGGGGCGCCGAGGAGGAGAGGCGAGGCCGAGGAGGAGGAACGCCGAGGAGGAGCGCCGAGGAGGAGCGGCGGAAGTGGAGGAGGGGGAGGCCAAAGAGGAGCGCCGAGGAGGAGCGCCAAAGAGGAGCGGCGAGAGCGGGCGGCGGTGGCGGCGGCCGGAAGCGGCGGCGGGGCGGCTCCAGCGGCGGCGGCGGACGGACCGGGGGCGAAGGGAGGAGCGGCGCCCGGCCCCGCGGCGGCGGGCGCGGGCGCGGGCGCGGGCGCGGGCGCGTGCGGGCGCGCGCGGCGCGGCCCGTGGCGAGCGCGGCCCGCCCCTGGGCCCTCCTCGGACCCGAGGGCCCTGGGGCACAGAGGAGGAGGAGGAGGAGGTTGAGGAGGAGGAGGAGGAGGAGGAGGAGGAGGAGGAGGGGGAGGGGGAGGGGGAGGAGGGGGAGGAGGAGGAAGAGGGGGAGGAGGAGGAGGAGGGGGGAGGAGGGGGAGGAGGAGGAGGAGGAGGAGGAGGAAACAGGAGGAGGAGGAGGAGGAGGAGGAGGAGGAGGAGGAGGAGGAGGAGGAGGAGGAGGAGGAGGAGGAGGAGGAGGAGGAGGAGGAGGAGTAATAATGGAGTACGCGCCCCCGAGCGTCCTAGGGGTTCGAATGGCCGCGCCATCGCTGACGAGGGTTATGAGCGAAGACGGTGTGCTAGACTTGGCTGCTGCTGTGCTCGGGGTCATTCGCGCCGAGCTCGGGAGCACCTCTGTTGCCCGCTTTGCTGTGAACATCGCCCTTCCTCTCCTCAACGCCCCTGTCCCTCTCCACCACGCCCTCCTCGCTGCTAAATTTGCAACCTCCGTCTCTACCACGTCCTCCTCTGCCACGTCCACGTCCCTCTTTACCATGCGCCCCCGAGCGCGACTCCCTCCTGACTTGACCCGGGACCTGCTCGACCGATTCGTTGACCCAAGCGGTGCTGTCGACCTGCTGCCGCATGTGAGCAGGTGACAGCCCCGAGATCGGCGCCGAGTCCCTCTTGCTTAATGCGGTTTTCATTCATGAGCCTCGCTTCTCGTTTGGAGACATCTACCTCTTCTATACAAGTTTTCTCTTGTTGGGGTAAGTGATGAATAGTTCGAGCGATGCCCAGACCATAGCCAGGCCATAGTTGGACCTCATGTTTGTGTAGCTGTTTTTTGTTCTGAAAACAAATCTTGATGTCAAACCGCAGATTTGTTGCCAGACAATAACAGGACCTTCACAGAGCTAGCGCAAGTCAGTGTGACAAGCGTGCAGGAGCAACGTGCCTGCGACTTCGCGACCTTGCCCATAGCCGGACCTTAACGGGACCATAGCCAGATGTGAACAATACGCCATTGTCGATCAAAAAAAAGTTAGAGAGTATCGGTGTCGACGTCCACGCGATGTAGGCGTAAGAGCGACGTCATGTCGTGCCTCAAGTCCCGAGCCTCTCCCGCACGCGCTGGCAAGCGCTCAAGCTTGGAAACGGTACGAAAGTCGGCAGTGCTTTTTGTCAGAATGCTCCTCGGATGCCTTCACGCGCGATGGGGTACGTTGAATTACTGACTGCCCAGGGTTGGCCCTGGCCAGTGGGGCGCCCTCCGGGTTGTTGTTGTTCACTCCCATGAGGCCTCCGGCTCGGACGTGCCAGGGCATTGCTGTGCAGGCGAGCGAGCGCCAAGGCCTGCACCACGGCGGCCCGCGGCTGCCGGGACTTCGTCCCCGCCGCAGCGCCCAGGGCTGCAGCGAGGCGACCATTGCGCGACTCTGCCACGACGCCGGCCCCGCTGCCCGCACCCGCCGGCCTCGAAGGCGCCTCTCACGAGTGGCGGGCGTGCCCGTATCAACGCCCTTGCGGTCTGGCTTCCAGGGCGCGATCCTGCGGATATGCGGTCGCACGAAAACGCTCTGCGCGGGGCATCCGCGGTCGCGGCCCTGGGTCGGTGGAAGAGAAGTAGTTATGCACATGCACCGGTCCTGGCCAGGCCCATCCTGGGCCCAGGATGGGTGCATCTGCCTTTCAGGCCAGGGCAGGAGGGCGTAATTATGCACCGATCCTGGGCCCAGGATGGGCCTGGCCGGGACTGGTGCATGTGCACATGGCGCCCTTCCCTCCGCCAGGGGCCGCGCCCCCCGCGAGACCGCGGAGCATATTCGACCCGTCTCTCGCCCACGAGCCTCGGCGCGGGCGATCCCCGGGCGCGCCGTACGCGCGCTCGGCGCGATGCTCCCGCCGCTGCGCGCGGTGGCCCGGCCGGCGCCCCGCGCGGCGGCCCCGCGGGCGCGCGGCGCCGCGGCGCCGCGGGCGTGGCCGGGCCGCGGGGCGCGCGCCGTGGCCCTGGCCGCGGCGCTCGGCGGCCTGCGCGCGCCGCGCGGGGCGGCGCCGCAGCTGCCCGCCCTGGCGGGCGGCGCGCCGGCGCCCTGGCGCGGCGCCGCGGGCGCCCGGGCGGCGGCGCCGGCGTGCAGAGGCCCGCCTTTTCTTCCTCCTCCTCCTCCTCCTCCTCCTCCTCCTCCTCCTCCTCCTCCTCCTCCTCCTCCGGCGGGCTCGCCGCCGGTGTCGGAGGCTGCCGGAAGCCGGGGGAGGAAGAGGGGGGCAGCTGGTGCCCCTGCCTTTGGCTGTCGTGTTTCCCCTTCTGTGGGGGGCCTCCTGGGATGGGAGAGGCCCTGCGTCGCCACCGCTGGCTCCGCCCCGGAATCCTGGTCAGAGCAAGATCTGCACTAGGAGCTGTTTCACCCAGGCTTACGCCAAAAGCTTCGTCACAAGCCCCCATGCCCTCCTACTCATTGATGCAACACAATTGCAACAATGGTTGGGTATCGGTCACCCGCTTGAGCGCCATCCATTTTCGGGGCTAGTCCATTCGGCAGGTGAGTTGTTACACACTCCTTAGCGGATTTCAACTTCCATGACCACCGTCCTGCTGTTAAAATGAAGCGCACCCTGGGAGAGGTCCAGGGAGCAGCGGTATCAGTGCTTTTTGGTTTCCCCAGTCGGCTGCCAAACGGGGTCGTTGGGCAAGGTTGGTTCCACTAGATCCGAGGCCCACCAAGCCCAACCCGAGGCAGCCCCAGCTGCCGTCGAAATCGTCGTTCTTGAACCAGACCTTCTCGCCGTTCCCGAGGGTGGGCGGAGGGGCGGAATCGGCGACGCTTTGAGAGTGACACCTCGCCGGAGCGACCTTTGGTGCGGGCTCACAGGGGTCTCCTCAGCATTGACCTGCGCGCTTGGCTGATTGCCCCCCCTCTTCCCGCCGCGGCCCCTTCGAGTCGCGCACCAACGGTCACTCCTGCCCAAGGTCGCTCCTGCGTGTAGCCGACGGAGGACTCGCGCCTGGGCTGGGGGTTTGTGGTTCAGGAGGAAGAGAAACACACAGACACAATGAATCGTCGATTTCCCAGAAAATATGGGGAAATATGGGAAGTGGGGGGGAAGACAGAAACCCAGAACACATGGGAAAACATGGGGAATCTTTTTAGTGTGTGTATTCATTTGTGTGTCCTGGGGCCCCTTCAGTGGTGTCAGTGATCTGGGGGGCCAGGGCGCCATCTCGGGAATCGGCGGCGAGCCCGGGGGGCACGTGAGAGGGGGCAGACCTGCCCCGAAGGCGGCGGGGCTTCTGAGAATCCCTCGGGCCTTCTGAGGAGCCGTTCGTGGCTTCGGAGAGGGGCGACAGGGCTTCTCAGAAGACCCAAGGTCAGGAGGGAAAACAGCACACAGACACAAGTAATCGTGGATTCCCAAGAAGATATGGGAAACTGTGGGAAGTGGGGGGGAAGACAGAAACCCAGACAATATCGGAAAATATGGGACATCTGGTTATTTGTGTCTATTTATTTGTGTGTCCAAGTTCCCCTTCACAAGGGCTTCTGAGAAGCCCCGCCGCTTTCTGAGAAGGCTTGCCCCCTCTCACTTCCTGGGGCTCGCCGCCGAGAAGAATTCCCGATACCACTACGCTTCCGTCGTTGCCACGTCAGTGGGTTCGCCTCGAGATTCTGGCCAAATCACACCCTAGGAGAGATCCCAGAAGCAGGGGTATCGGGTATCGGCGTATCGGTATCTCGCTCGTGCCCCGCCATCGGCCTTCGCATCATCTCGTCCCCTGCACGCAGCGGCACTTCTGGCACCTGTGTAAGCCATGATGCGGCGCGAAGTTTGCAGCCACGTTCTGTGGGTGCGGCCTTCTCCCTGCGGCGGGCGCATTCTACCGGATGGCTCTCCGCGCCGAAGAGGTGGGGGGAGTCGAAGGAAAGCCATCGTCGATGTGGCCCGATTCGCGCCGCCTCCCCCCGCAGGAGGGGCAGCTTTGCTGCCCCCGGGGGACGTCCTCAGGCACCACGCCATCAACACCAGCTACGACCCGCGCCTGCGGCTGCTGCGTCCCTCGCCTCCGGTCTACGAGCTGCCCGGCTTCCTCCTGGAGGGTTCCATGGGGGCCTCGGACCACAGATCCGATGTCGTGATGTGTCTGGCCCCGGACAGTATGGCGCTCCAGCGGGTGGCCGATACCCAATCGTTGTTGCAATTGATTTGCACCAGTGAGAAGGAGGGCATGGGGGGCTTGTGACGAAACTTTTGGCGCAAGCCTGGGTGAAACAGCTCCTAGTGAGATCTTGGGGGTAGTAGCGCATGTTCAAATGATAAGTTTCAAGACCGAAGAGGAGAAGGGTTCCACGTGAACAGCAGTTGGACGTGGGTTAGTCGATCCTAAGGGACAGGGATGATTTGCACACGCAGGCTTTGCCTCGTCTTTCGGAAAGGGAATAGGGCTAACATTCCCCAACCAGGACGTGGATACTGTATGGCAACGTAACAGAATTCGTTGTCGCAGGCGGGAGCCTTGGGAAGCGTTGTCTTCTCTTTTTCACCGTCTCTTACCCTGAAATCAGACTGCCTGGATCTAGGGTTAATTGGCGGATAAAGCACCTTGTCTTCCGAGGTTTCCGGTGCGCTCTCAGATGTCTTGGAAAAGTCGAAGGGAAGACGTATTCTCACCCCTGGTCGTATTCACAGCGCGGCTCCTTGATCGCCGAGCGCGATGCGATAGTAGCGTCTTGCGCGCTCAGGCTTGCCCCCCCCCCCCCCCCGCGGCTCCCCGAAAGCCGCGCACCAACGGTCGTTTTCTTGCCGAGGGCCACTCCTGCGTGTAGCCAGCTCTTGCGGCGGCGGTGGCGGTGCTCGGCCCCCTCCCTCGGAGGCTGGGCCCCGAGCGGAGCCCTCGACGCCTTCCCCCGGACCTCGACCCGGAGAGCCCTCCCGTGGAGGTCCTCTGCCGAAAGGGCGCCCGCGCGGCCCAGACAGGGAGCGCAGCACGACCGCGCGTGGCCGCCTCGGGGCCCAGCCTCCGGAGGCCCCCCCCCCCCCCCCCGGCGGGCCCAGAGGCGGCCCCTCCTCGAAGCAGGCAGGGCCTCCTCCCAGGGGCCCTTCGCGAGGGCCAAGCCCGGGCCAAGGCACGGCCCCCCTTGGGGGGGGGCAGGCGGGTGGGGCTCTCGTGCGTTGTAGGCGGGCTCTAGCAGCCAGGCTGTGGCTTTCTTGCGGGTGGGGCTCCTTTCTGTTCCTCCTCCCCCTTCCCCCCCTCTTTCAGATCTGACATGGCGAAAGGATGGCAACATCGCAGCAACTCATCACCTGAGCCCTGGACCCAATCTTCTGTCTGCGCCACTTTTCGAGCCACATCGATTGGTGAGGGCTCTGGGGCCCGAAAACGAGCCACGCCACCCGTTGTGAAAGAATCGCATCCCCAGGATCCCAGGGCCTCTGGACGAACACGAGCCAAACCGCCCCGATGCGAAAAGTTTGCGACGCCAGGATCTCGGTGCAGAGATCCTGGCCCGGGGTCCTTCCCCGCCGGGCGTGGCCCTGGCCCTGGCCGGGCCCGCCTCCTGCCCGAGCTCGGGGGAGGGCCTGGGCTCGGGGTGGGCACGGCCAGGATCGGCACGTGCGCGAGGAACGGGAGCGCCCCATGCGGCGGCCGGAGTCTGGGGGGGGGGGCCAGGGGGATCTCGGGGCTCTCGCAACGCAGGGGCGAAACGGGGACGCTCACGTGCATGAGCCCCTGTCGGTTTCGAGAGCACGCGTGGCGCGAGCGTTCGTACCACGAGGCTCGTCTCGCGGACTCGGGGGGCCGTCTTCGTGCACACGTGGTGGGCGGCCCCACGCCCCCCGCTCTCCGCCGACCCGGGGCGAGCGCGTCCCCGGGGGGCCGAATCGCACCGCAGCTGCGGTGCACCGTCGCCGGGATGGAGGAAGGCGGGATCCGGAGCGCGCAGTGCCGCCGATGCCTCGGCGATGCACCCACGGCGGCGGGATGGGGAAGAGATCGAGCTCCGCATCGAGCCCCATCGCCGCTGCATCGACCCTGCCTCAGCGACGAAGACAAGCGGCCCTTACTCCGAGGCGGGAATTCATACATGAACACCGCCTGGAGAGTCAGTGTTCGGAGCCTCGGCAGGCGGTGGATATGGACATATTCGGGCCCCCGGGGGCCGAAATATATCTATATTTACCGCCCGCTGGGGCACCAGGACGTCGGTTCCCAGGGGGTGGATATGGATAACTCCCCGCCTCGCACTTACGCGAGAAGACGCAGCGACTTTACGCCGCGGCTTACGCGGGCCGCCAGCGCGGCACACCGCGTGGAGAGAAGGGCGCTCACGCGCGACCTTGCGCGGGAAGCTCACGCGCGCATGCCCGCGCAGCCGACCCCGTTGCCTTCGTCGCTCATGCGGTCGAGCATCCGATTATTCTCCCGAAGAGCTGGGCCAGCGCTTCTGAACCAGCTTGCCGGGAAGCTGGCCCAGTTTCTTAAGCACGTCTGTCCCTCCAGCGTGAAAAAAGGAATTGGCACAGGTTTGTGTGAAGAAGCTTCTGGAAAGCAGGCCCAGGTTTCTTCAATCATGGTTTCTTGACCATATCTTCGGCTGTAAGTGCACAGCTCTCCCTCTTCCGCCCTGGCCCCCTCGATGGAGCCCTCCAGTTCCCGCTGGCGACCCCTGGAGGTTCCCGACACCCCCAGAGGTCGGCCGCAGGCCTTGTGGAGGCCGAAGGCCCCAGCGGTCCAGGGAATGCCTAGCGGTCAGGGAATGCCTAGGGTGTCCACGATTCCTTCCCCCTTCTGACATCCGACGGCTTGTTTTTTTCCAATACGCGGCCCCAGAAGGCCCGTCCCCTTCCCTGGGGGTAGCTTTTCGCCCCAGGTCATTTTGATGGTCCCGGGCCCGATGGAGAGCCTCAGGGGGGCCGAAGTCTGTGAGAGAAACGGCGGGATTGGACACGTCATGTCGTCGGAAATCACGACCAGAGCTGTAGACCCAATCTTTTGTGATTTTTCGAGCCAGGTCGATCGGTGAGGGCCCCGGGGGAGCCCGACACCGGGCGAGAACGTCGGATGCGAAATGATTGCAGCGCCCACGCGCGAAGACAATTTTCTTCGATTGCAACGCACGGGGGCCTGGTATGTTCTCGCAAGTCTAGCCGCTTTGCGTAACCCCACCAGCCCATCCAGAACCGATGCCCAGAGGAATTGCCTCGATCAGGGAAGTGGGCAGCACACCTAGGAAGGGTCCCCCCGTGGAGGCCTCTTGGAGCGTCTTGGGGTCCTCTTGGCGGTCCCAGACGCCTCTTAGAGCGTCTTGGGTGCCTCGATTGCTTCTTGGGGCCTCTTGGGGGTCTGTTGGGAGCCTCTTGGAGGCCTCTTGGGCGCCAGTTGGGGCCTCCTGGGGCCTCCTGGGCGCTCTTGGATTTATGTTCCCAAGGTTTTGGAATGATTTTGGCCTCTTCGGGGCCTCTTGGGGGAGCTCTTTGGCCACTTGGAGCCGTCTTGGAGCGGTCTTGGGGCCTCTTGGAGCATCGTGAGAGCCATCTTGAGGCATCTTGGGGTATCTTGAGCCATCTTGTAGATCATCTTGGGCTTTCCCAGGCTCTCTTGGAGTCATCTGAATCAGTGCCCCCCCCAGGAGGCCAACATGTTGCCAAAACCTATGTAAACTCAATGGTTTTAGCATTCTCGCCGAGGCCTCTTAGAGCGTCTTGGGTGCCTCTGGGGGGCCTCTTGGGGCCTCTTGGGGGTCTCTTGGGAGCTTCTTGGGGGCATCCTGGGGGCCTCTTGGGGGCCTCTTGGGGCTTCCTGGCCACCTCTTGGGGCCCTCTCTTGGGAGCCTTGGGAGCGCTCTTGTGGCCATCTCGGAGGAGATCGATCAAAGAAGCGGGGTTCCCCAATTAGGGTCGCCCTCCCAGAAGGCCAAAATGGGGCCAACACCTTAGTAAAACCACTGATTTGGGCTTCCTCGCCGAGGCCGTTTCGGACGCTCCAGCGCGTCGCGAACCCCCCTTGTCCAGGTCCAGGGGAGGGGTAGGGGGAGGGGTCAAGACTCCCTCCCCGCCCGCAAGCCGTCTCGCTCACTCCCACCTGCCCTCCCAACACATACGCAGCACCCGAGCCTGGCCCGAGCCGCAGCATATTCAGCAGTCGTCTTTGGATGGGCAGCTACTGGGGGCGCATCCGCCGCCGCCGCCGCCCCCGCCCCCGCCGCCCGCCGCCGCCGTCGCCGCGCCGCCGCCGCCGCCGACGCTGCCCGCCGCCGCCGCCGCCACTGCGCTGCCCGCCGCCGCCGCCGCTGCCGCCGCCGCCCCCGCTGCCGAATCGCCGCCGCCGCAGCCGCCGCCGCCACAGCCGCTGCCGCCGCCGCCGCCGCCACCGCCGCCGCCGCCCCCGCCGCCCCCGCCGCTGCCACCGCCGCCGCCACCACCGCAGCCGCCGCAGCCGCTGCCCCCGCCGCAGCCGCCGCAGCCGCCGCCGCCGCCGCCAAGTGTTCTCTGTATTGTCTTTTGACCGGGATGGTGGGGGGAGGCCGCATCGGGTTCGCTGCGCATGCTTCGAATTTGGAGGCAGAGTGTGTTTTGTATGGTTTTTTACCAGGGATGGTGGGGAGGGGGCCCTCATTGACTCGGGTTGGCTCCCAGTCGCCTGGGGGAGGGGGTGCGATAGGGAAGTAGGAGGGGTAGCAGAGGAAACTTTAGACCACCTGCGCCCAAAGGGCTGGTGGGATTCCGTCTTTAGAGAGCGTGGACGAGTGTTTGGTAATCGGTGAGAAAGCGCGGAGCATCCATGAGCCCCGTCGGAGCCCTCCAGCCGCTCACGGGCGACGAGTGCCGGGCGCTCGTGGAGCTCGCGCGCCCGCTGCTGCAGCCGTCGCCTGTGGTGCAGCTGGCGAGTAGCCCGGGCTCGGGCGGCGCGCGGGAGGTGCACGGCGTCTCCGCCTCGCGCACCAGTACCACCTGCTTCCTCGCGAGGCCTCCTCCATCCTCTCGTCCTCCTTCCAACCTCCTTCCCTCCTTCCCCTCCCTCGCTCCCTCCTCTCCCTCCTCTTCGTCTTCCGGAGGTCGGCGCGCATGTCTTGGGCGCTGGACCCCCGCTCCTCACAGTCCCTCCCCGCCGTCAGGGGTGCGGGGAGGGAGTGCAGCGTCGACGCAAGAGATCCACGCGGACCTCCGGAAGTGTTGGTCTGTGGTCCCTCTAGAGCAGAATGGGGTCGGAGGTCGCGCCGCATCGCCGATGCATCGGGCGCTGCGGCTCGGTCTGGAGCCCGATCGCATCCATCCTGGCGTCACCTGTGCATCGCCGATGCGGCGCCATCTTCCAACCCCATCTCTCAGGCAAGCCCAGGATGAGGACACATCGCGCAAGAGCGCTCTCAGAGCGTTCCCGAGCGCTCTGCCTTGGCCGCCGCGCCCGACCTGTCCTCCAGATCCCGCCGGCCCTCAGAGATTCCCGATTCATTCCTCCGAGCCTCATCTTATTCTGCCTTCGCTTTCTACTCGGGCCCTTCTCGGAGCCCTCGTGCAGCCTCCCTTCCTCCTGCGCGCGGAAGTGCGTGGACGCGGCGCAAGCGGTGCTCGAGGGGGCGGGCCCTCTTTGCCCCCCGGCGTGGCCCCGCGCCTGGCCGAGGTCGGCGCGTTCTCCCCGAAGCGCCGTCCGCAGCTTCCCCCGTCGAGGCCTCCGCCACCTAGACACCCAGGCTCCCCTCGTCGGGGGAGAAAAAAAATACGGATACGTGTAGTCCCCCTTCGTTTTCGGCCTTTCCTGGTCCTCCTGGGGAATCCTCGTTGTCACCGCTGGATTCGCCTCGAAATTCTAGTCAGAACGCACCCCAAGAGAGGTCCGGGGACAACACGTATCCGTATCTTTCCGCCCCCCAACCTCGTGTCGCGAGGCTCGCGATGGAGGGTTTTTGCACAGCTTTCGGCACCCGGGAGCGCTGACCGGGCCGCGGGACAGTCGAACATCGGCTGAGGATGAACAGCCGGGCCTGCGGAAAGGTTCCATCACAATCGCTGGGTGCACCCGTTCTGAAAAATCACGGCGTCGGGGGGTTGGGTATAGCAGGGCCAGGGCCAGAGTGGTAATTATCCACATGAACTTTTTGCAGCCAGAGTCTTCATGGGATGGGGTGGTGGTCGATCTTTCCTTCCCTGGGGCAGCACAAGCGGCCATCCGCTCGTTTCGAGTCATGTTCTCAATCTGGCCTTGGAGAGGCGGATGTGGTCTGACATCGCCCCCCCATTAACCGCATGCCGATGAGAATAAAGTACCCCCCCTTAAGTCGTTAGAGTTTTTTATCGTCGACAAATAAGAGTTTGGTCGGGGGCGCGGGGGCGCGGAGGCCGAACTTCATTATCACGGGAAAAGTTCGCCATCGAAGTTACTTCCTTCTTATGTTGAGATAACAGCATCAAGCGAAGCGAACACGTTGTTTCAGGATGTCTCAAGCGAAACCAATGTCCTTATGTCTCTTTGTAGTTCTTTCTGTTTCTCTTTCTTTCTTTCTCTGTCTCTCTTTCTCTCTCTCTCTCTGTCTCTCTATCTCTTTCTCCTTCCTGGCCTCTCTGTCTCTCTCTCTCTGTCTCTCTATCTCTTTCTCCTCCTCCTCCTCCCCCTGGCGCCCTGAACTTGTTTATCGCTGGGGTTGATTATCCAGGGAAAACGAGGCACGTGAGCTACCCTACACGAGCACTTAAACATTCTAATTTTCATAAAGCGCTTGTAAATAACATTTAATACATTTGAATCTTCAGTTTTTTGTTTTATCCTCCTTTCCTGTTCTCTTTTTCCTTTTCATTTATTATTCGACTTTTCTTTTTAAACATATCTTCTCTCTTTAAGTCCTTCCTTTCTTTTTCTTTATGATGTATCTCTCTTTCTCTCTCTCTCTCTCTTTCTCTCTCTCTCTCTCTCCATGCCCCCTCTGAACTTTTTTATCCCTGGGGTTGATTATCCATGAAAAATGAAGCACATGAGCTACCCTACACGAGCACTTAAAACTTTTAGTTTTCATAAAGCGCTTGTAAATAAAATCTAATACATTTGAACTTGAGATTTTTCCTTCTCTTTCTCCTCCTCCTCTGTTTTCTTTTCTTTTCGATGGTTTCCCTTTTTCTTTTTGATTTCTTATTGTTTCTGTTTTATTTTTGTTTTTGTATATCGCTTTCTCCATTCCTCCGCCCGCCTGAACTTTATTACCGCCGCGGTTGATTATCCAGGGACACCGAGGCGGATGAGCTATTCCGAGGATGTCTCAAGCGAAACAAGCATATACTCGAGGATGTCTCAAGCGAAATAAGCATATACTGAAGGATGTCTCAAGCGAAACGGTACGTTTCTTAAGCGAAATAAGCAATAGTTTGACGGTGTCTCAAGCGAACTAAGCAATATTTTGTGGATGTCTCAAGCGAAACAAGGGATTTGTCGAGGATGTCTCCAGCGAGATAAGCCATTGTTGAGGATATTTCTATGAAGACTAAACGCCAAGGATGTCTCAAAACGTGCTCGGCTTGGTCTCCTCTTGATCATCTCTTACTTCGAGATTATGCTGAGGTCTGGTGGGCTACTTTGATTATCTCCCCCTGAACCCCGAACTTTATTATCCCCTAGTGTTTATTCTCGAAGGTATTCGGTTACTTTCCTGCTCCTGCTCGTTTAGGTGTTCGATGGTGGCCCCCGTGTCAAACGCAGCAGTCCAGCTTTCGTGCGTGAGACCGCTGAATGCCTCCGAGGGCCGATGAGTAGAAATGGGTCCACGGTCGATGACGTAATCTCTTTCTCCCACGCCTACCTCCTTGCCAGGGAGTCGTGCGGGGCCCTGCTGGCAAAGGTCGGCGCGCTGACGGGCAAGCCTCGGGAGTGCTTTGAGTTGGTGCAGGTGGGCCGCTACCTCAAGGGACAGTTCTACCGACCGCACCACGACGCGCTCGATCCGCACACGGAGCTGTGGATCCTTCGCCCTCCTCAGGAGGAGGAGGGGAAGAGGAGGAGGAGGAGGAGAAGGAGGAGGAAGAACAGCAGAAAGAAGAGGAAGAAAAGGAGAGAACGGAGGAGGAGGATGAGGGACACGGTGATGGTGGTGGTGAGGAGGAGGAGGAGGTGGAGCAGGAGGAGTAGGGCCGAGGAGTTGGGCAGGGAGTTCGTGAAGGACGGTGGGAACCGCGTGCTCACGGTGCTGCTTTACCTGAACGACGTGGTGCGTGGCGGCTCCACGCACTTTCACCACCTAGACCTCCGGGTGAAACCCGAGCGCGGGAAGGCCCAAGGGCTCCAGCTCCACCCGCAGGTCCATCCCACCCCTCCGCCCTTCTCCTCCCCCTTCCTCTATCGAGGAAGGCGAGGAGGAGAAGCATGATGAGGAAGATGAGGGAGGAGAGGAACGAGGAGGAGGAGGAGAAGAGGGAGGAGGACGGTGAATCTGATGATGACGATGAAGGGTGATTCAGAAGATGATGCTGATGATGCTGATGATGATGCCGATGATGATGATGATGATGATGATGATGATGATGATGATGATGATGATGATGATGATGCTGATGATGATGATGATGATGATGATGACGATGATGCTACTGATGATGATGATGCTGCTGGTAATGATGGTGATGATACTGATTCGGATGAGGACGAGGGTGAGGATACGGATGAGGATGAGGATGAAGTTGCGGATGATGATATGTATGTTGCTGATGATGGTGATGATGATGTTGGTGGTGGTGGTTGTGTCTGTGATGGTGGTACGATGATAATGATGATGCTAGAGATGAGGACGGTGATGCTGATGCTGCTGATGGTAAACATGTTAATGATGATGACAAGGATGGGGACGATTATGCTAATGATGATTGCGATGATGCTGCTGCTGCTGATGCTGCTGCTGGTGATGTGGATGATCATGATGCTGATGGTGCTAATGATACTGATGCTGACGCTGCTGATGATAATGATGATGATGATGATGATGATGCTGCTGGTGCTGATGATGCGGACGATTATGATGATTGTGCCAATTATACTGGTGCTGATGCTGCTTCTGCTGATGCTGATGCTGGTGCTGCTGATGAGGATGATGATGCTGATGCTGATGGTGATGATGATGCTGATGATGATGGTAGGGGTGGTGAGCATGGTGCTGGTGATGATTCTGATGATACGGTTGATGGTGACTATGTTGATGGGTACGAGGGTGAGCACGATTATGCGGTGAGGGAATAGGCGGTTGAGGCGGGTGAACAGGACTCAGAGGGATGATTGTGAGGGGGCAGGAGGAGGCGGAGGAGGAGAGGGAGCAGTACGAGGGAGGACATGGGGAGGTGTAGGAGGCTTCCTCCTTGAGGGGGTGGGTGGACGAGGATAGGGAGGGGAGGGGGGGGCGGCTGGGATGAAGCGAGGGTCGCCCAGAGGCCCTGGTGTTCTTCCCTGCGTTCGCGAACGGGGACTCCGGGAGCCCGCCCGAAAAGGCTGGGCGCCCAGGAGGAGCACAGTTCATCGTGTCCATCGTTCGTTGGAAGTGCTACCGGTTCCAGATTCCAATCGTCTTGGGCACCTTCGTGTCACAAGAGTCCAGCTTCTTTTCCTTCCTGTGCAGGGGGCGGGCTGAAACCCAGCCCGCTTTCAGCGCCTTCCTGTTTCATGTTTCTACCGTCTGCGCTTCTCCTGAACGATGGGTAAGGGTACTCAGCCCTCAGATCCGCGCGTCGCGAAATACTTACATCGCGGTTAAGAGTGCGGGGGCGATGGGGTCGTCGGCAGTCTGCCAAGCTTTGAAGATGCCCGCCGCATGCGCCGATGTTTCACGTTACACATCGAGCCCGCCGCAGGCACCGAAGTTTTCGTCAAAGCAACGTGAGTGGGTCGCGAGTCGGTCGCGGGGTGGGTCGCGGGGTGGGTCGCGGGGTGGGTCGCGGGGTGGGTCGCGGGCGGGTCGCGGGCGGGTCGCGGGCGAGGACGACGACAGCATCGCAGCAGCGCAATGTAACACCGCAGCAACAATCCGAACCGCGGAACTCCACTTCAGCCACGCACTCCTGGACAGGAAATGACCGTTCAGCCCCATCACTCTGATGACCGTCACGCTCGCCCCGCTTCGGGCCCGAAGGAGCCTTCCAGATCGATCGGGCGCGAGAAGTCCCGCAGAGAGGTGAGGCCGAGATCTCCAGTATTTTTTCTCATGCCTGTGTGGCGTTTTCTCGACGTCGGATCTCTGGATGGATGCAGTACTTCAACCAGGCTGCCCTTCTATTGTTGCCTGTTCGATTGTCGCCGCCTCGCAAGGCTATGTATCTAGTGGCCTTCGGACCATGCCGCCTCCGTGCCTGGGTTGTAGGTCAGAGTCCTCTGGGATGCTCGCGGGGATTTCTTGGGAGGCCTCGCGGGAGCATCTCGGAAGCGGTTTCAGGGCGTCTTGTGGCCTCTCTGGGGCCTCTTGCGGCCTCATTTGGGCCTCTTCGGGACCTCCTGGAGCTTCTTGGCGACTTCATGGGGGGGGGTCCCGCTGGCGGTCTCGGGGATAATCGTGGGGTGGAGGGCTCGAAATGTCAGTTCGAATTCCCCCTCTCGGGGCCCTCTTGCGCCCCCCATTCGGCAGTTTTGTCGCCTCTTGGGCCGTCTCTTCGGGGCCTCTTGGACCGTCGTTGGGCGATCTTTGGGGCCGTCTCAGAGCGTCGGAGGCCGGAAAAGGTGAGAACCTATGGGAAAGCATTGATTGTTGCCTCTTGGAGCCCTCTTGGGGGGCCTCTTGGAGCCCTCTTGTAGCGTATAGGGAGGCTTCTTGGGCAGTCTTGAGGTCACATTGGGCCGCCTTGGGGCCCTCTTGGGCCGTCTCGGCGCTCTCTTGGACCGTCTTTGGGGCTTCTCAGAGCGTGTTTTTTATTGCTTGGGGCATGACGGCGTCATGGCCCCCGGCCCCCCCCCTCCCCCCCCTATGAGGTAACGCTCCCCCCCCTAGTGCGTTCCGGGCACTGCCGCCGTGCGCATCGTGATCCGCATAGACGTCCGCATAGACGTCCGCATATGAGTCTGGTCCGCAGTCGTCGTCGCCGCCGCCGCCGCCGCCGTCATCGTCGTCGTCGTCGTCGTTGTCGCTCGTCGCTCGTCGCTCGTCGCTCATCGTCGTCGTGCGCGCGGACGCAGTTGGAGCCTGTTTGTTATTCCGGGCCGATGACGGCAATCATCTGGGGGGTGGAGGGGGCCGATGACGTCACGTTTCGCGCCGGCGGCGTCTGGGAATGCCTAGGAATGACCGAGGACGGGTAGCAGCAGCGTGTCGGTGGCGATTTGCGCCACCACGCCTTTGTACACCACAGTGCCTGCGTGCACCACAGCGCCTGTGTACACCACACCGCCTATGTACACCACAGTGCTTGCGTGTACCACAGCGCCAGTGTGTGCCACAGTGCATGCTGACACCACAGCGCTTGTGTACATCACAGCGCGTGCTTACACCACATCAGCCGTGTGCATCACAGCTCCAGTGTACACCACAATGCCTGCGTGCACTACTGCGCCTGTGTACACCACGGCGCATGTGTGCACCGCAGCAACCGTGTGCAACAAAACACCACTTCTGCATATAGAATGTTATATGGAATCTTTATGACAAAATGGAGCGCTTGTGGATTCAACAGAATACAAATGTTCTATGTAGGATTTGGAAAAGAATCCTTATGGAAAAAGGATCGCCGCTGGAATCGACGAGTCTTCCGGTGTCCGCCCGCATTATCCTAACTCTTCCCATCTGCGTCCAGGAGGCTCCAGCTAAATTGGCCGTCCGAGAACCAAGTGGACTGATTCAACCGACCATTTTGCGGTGCACGCTGAGATGTGCACGTGCGCTGTAGCGCCGACCCGCACGACGGGGGGAACGGGTGAGGGAGGAGGAGGAGGAAGACGAGGAAGAGGAGGGGGAGGACGAGGAGTAGGAGGAGGAGGAGGAGGAGGAGGAGGAGGAGGAGGAGGAGGAAGAGGAGGAAGAGGAGGAGGAGGAGGGAGAGGAGGAAGAGGAGGAGGAGGATGAGGAGGCATGAGGGAAGAACGTCGCATTATATTATCAGCATTTCCCTGGCGTGGCGTTTAGTTGTCTGCAGCAGATCCTCGCCGACATGCTTCCTCTACCTGTCCTGTGCACGCACGCACTCTGGTGTACACGAGCGCTGCGTTGCACGCGGATGCTGCGGTGTAGACAGGCGATGTGGTGTGCAGAGGCGCTACGGTGCACGTAAGTATTGTGGTGTAGGCAGGCGTTGTGTTGCACATGGTTGCTGCGGTGTACACATTCGCTGTGGTGTACACCAGCGCTGTGGTGCACGCAAGCTCTGTGGTGTACACAGGCGCTGCGTTGCACACGGCTGTTGCGGTGTACGCAGGCGCTGTGGTGTACACAAGCGCTATGGTGCACGTGAGCAGCGTGGTGTACAAAAGCGCTGTGGGGCAGATCACCACCCACATGCTGCTCGCGTCGTCGTCGTCGTCGTCGTCGTCGTCGCTCGTCGTTCGTCGCTCGTCGCTCGTCGCTCATCGTCGTCGTGCGCGCGGGCGCGGCTGTGGTGCCGGAGCCACACGGTGGGGGGGGGGGGGCGTTACGTCATACCCCCCCCGCCCCCTCCCCTCATGACGCCCATCATCGCCGAAAATGACGAAACGCGCTTTTCAGGGCCCTCATGGCCAATTTGTTGGGCCCTCGCGCGCCCGGAAAAGTCATGCGATAAGGCGCGCCAGCGCGCGGGACGCCCCAACGAGAGCCTCGAACTTTGGGTCGGGCCTTCCCCCAAAAACGTGTTTCATGCTATATTTACGTAGGACGAAATATTTGTTCTTGAGGTGCAAATGGCGATGAGGAGTTCGCGAGAGAACATCGGCGCCGCCGAACGGACGGCGTCTGGACGAACTGCGTGCAGCAACAGGGAGGAGAGGGACGTATCCGTGTTGAGTGGGACCCGCGCTCGCGGAAAGTTGATGGGGCAGGGCCCATCATGGGAAGTTGATGACCGACCCCCCCTATGCCCCGTAGGATCTTGACACGGGCGGGTTCCGGGGCCCGCGGATCCGATTTCGTCCGCTTCCCGCTTTATTTAATAATATAATCCATTTGGAACGGGGTAGAAATCGGATCCGCTTTAAAAGTAAAGACTGCACGCGGATCCAG